TGGCATTTGTCAGCAAGGCCACACTTCCACGAGTGGCACCTCAAGTCATCCAGCCAAAGGCTGGAGAAGCAAATCAAGACAGAAGATCTTATGTGGATGTGGACCACTACACAAAGGTGAGATGGAGAGCAAGCGAGTGTTGGGTTTCGCTGGACCTCATCTGCCAGGTGGCCTCTAGGGAAAACTGCACCCCGAAGCCAAAGCTCGATAGCAGTACTGCGGGTGTCAGAGAAAGCTAATCAGAAGAATGGCCAGAATCTGAGAAATGGAAAGTATTCCAACCTCTTACTGATTTAAAATTTTATGATTAAAATACAATTCCTAATATCTGCTAAATGGGGAAACAAAAAGCTATCATCTGACGTTTTAAAAAATCTATGTATTTTTGAAGCAGAAAAACTATGTATTTCAAAACAGGACACTGGCAGAACAGGCGGTGCAGGTGGGGAACTGCTCCAACCGCACCCAGCTGAGTCAAGGCGACAAAACTTATTTGCCTACCAGCTTTCTTCCCACATCTTCATTCCCAGGGTTCGCATGATTCAGAGACAAAATGGCAACGGAATTCACCTTGTATCAGTATTTCTTTTGAGAGCCTGAACCCAAATTATAAAAGTTTTTGAAATTAAGTATCTTTGAAAACAGAAAACAGACTGCTATCTCAATGGGAGGGAGGGCATTCCACGTAGAAACTAAAATCATGATTAACTGATCTGCGAACGGTTGGGTGTGTGTTAGAAATGGTCTTCTGAAATTTAAAAATAATTACAGTGGGGCCTGTCAATGAGGTGACGAGTACTTTGAGCCTATGTAATGGCTCATCTGCAATTTTTTTTTTAATGTCTGGCAGAATGTTTTACAAACTAAACTCAGCAAGACGACAATTCTACCAGAAGGTGCCTCAGATGGTTTTCCTAATAATTTTGATCAGCTGAAATGAAGAAAAACATAATTTCAATTATTCACTTTCAAAAACCACCCATTTTAAGTTGGAATATTAAATGCCCCTTTCTTCCTCCCTCCATTACCATCAACCAAATAGAATCAAACCTCACAGAACCCTTGCAAAAAGAAAAAGCATGTAAGGAGTAACTTCATGTTAACATACCAAAAATTTTGTCAACATGTTTTTGCCACTTGAGGTTGTCCAGCTTATGTGTACCTTTGCTTGAGATGATTAAAGTCCCTTTAGAGATCTCGGCGGAAGCTGGCATTGCAACTCCTGCAAAGATCTAAGTGCAAACCACCATATATTGGCTTTTGTTTTAATAGCCTTTTAACCAACTTTGTTAATGGACTGAATGCAATTTAGATATGGAACTTGGCTAAAACGTAGCTTCAATTGGCTATTAAAATTTAAGAGCCAACTAAGATAGCTAATTACAAAAAAAGCTCCAGCGATAATGCTAAGCAGAATTAGTAATAGCAAATGACAGTCTGTCTAGTCTTATTCCCATAGGGAAAGAAACTCTTAACTGAGAAGTCAACCAGACAGTGTGCAGCAAACCTGATTGCATTACTGGTATTATGGCATACAAATCTGGCAGCTCGCTGGGACAAAACGGGGAGTCAAGTCTGTCAACCTCGTCAGAAAACTAACCCCCTTTTACGTGCGTTAGAGCAGACTCTGGGATATTTTATTTGCATTCACAGGTACGCATAAAGGCTCTTTCACTGAGGAACACTGCTGTAAAACCCTAGCAGACACTAAGAGTGAGGAGGGAAGGAACTGAGCCTCAAAAGAGCACATTCACCTTCACCTGCACAGAATCCGTCTTTCCCTTTAGGAATTTAGGTCTGAAAAAGACAATAAATATCTGAATGCTAAAAAGTTGAGCATAGAGGGGGGGAAAATGTTCGACTTTGCTTCATTACAGATACCCTCATTATGGCATCAGCTGAAGTGCAGACGAGCTCTCCTGTGAAGATTTATCATGTGTGGTGGCCACTTTGAATCGGAGGTACTGGAGTCTTTAACATTCCCTAGTCAAGTGTCTCCCTGCTGTGCCTGTAAATGTCAGTCCAGTTTTTTCACGGCTGTGCGCACAGATTAGAAACAGCAGGAGAGCTTGGGAGTATGACTACAATACCAGTAAGGACACTTGTCTTCGTGGCACTGCTCAAGTGATTCTTGGAATGTAGGACCCTGCTGTTTTCTAATATTTACACACAACTGGAGTCATCAAGAGCAGTAAATGCGGTCTAAAGGCAGCTTGCTTCTTTTGTTAGGGGCTTTACATTCAAATAGGGATATCAACAATAAGACCAAAAAAAGGAAAAAGACCCACTATTTTAAAAAGTTTCCTATTTCCTCCCAATTTTGCTGCTAAAAGACGAACCAGGTATCATCATGACTGTCCGCTTGGCTCGACCCTCCCTTCCAAACATTTTCACTGTGCAGCATACAGTTCATTGGGAACAGCAGGTATTTCAGATTCTTAACCTTGAGTTGGGTATTTGCAGGCTGTGGCTCCTCTGACCTCTCCAGGAACAGACAGGGCCTTCAAAACCATTTTGATGTAATTTCACACACCTTTGATTTCTGAACACTTTGCATGACATATCAAAGACTTATTTTGGGGCTGTAGCACCTGGAATACAACTTCATTCAAGAGCCTGGTTAGAAACTTTAGAAAACGGGGGGTGGGGGAACTATGCCTGTGCAATTTAATAAATGTCTAAATGGTCCTTCTTTAAATTATAAATGGTAGGGTAAATCACATAAACTTTTTAATATCTGCCAAGGACCTGTGGACTAGAAACTTCAGGGAGTCGTGGTGGGTCGGGGGGAGGGTTGCACCGGCACCAGATCGCGTACCTTTGCAACTAGTGTTAACAGATTAGCATGTGCACAACAGTTCTCCAGTTGAACTGACTTGTGTTAGCACCATAATATTCTATAAGAGTAAATGAAGGCCAAAGAACAAAGTTTTTATTACCCTTTGAGGGTTGGTGTGTGGGGTGGGGGTATTAAAATGCCCCTTTAGAAGACCTTAACATAAAGCTCTTCTTAGAACCTTGAAAGCACACTTCTATCTAAGAATGTTCAAGAAGTAAACTATTTCTCTCTTCTCTCTTCATTGGGCAATCTAATAGAATCAATATGTACTTCCCAGCTGTAACCTTCCCTGTGATCTATTCTCCTGGAATCTTCCAGTGTTCAGGGTTAGCAGACCCTTTAGCTGCTTTACTCTGACTTCTAACTACTAACACATATTGGACCCTTATGAGGAAAGTCTGAGAGACTGTGTAGGGGCATCTCTCACATCTGAGAACTACACCAAGAATGACCACCATGACCTTCTGCAGTAAGGCTTTTGTGTCAAGGTCAGAAAGTATACTGAATACAATTTTTCAGTTTTTAATCAAATCATGACCTGGGTGTTACAGGTGTTCATTTACTTAATTGTAATCACTTTTCACATACTTCTAAGAGATATCAGAAGCAGAAAGACAACCTACAGAAAAGTGGGAACAGATTTCAGACTACTGTCCCAACTCCCCCAACCCCTGTCAAGACCTGGAGTCATGCCTTTAAAACTCCTTCCTGCCTCTGCACTCCAGGCATACATATCTTATAGATCATCTCCACTCATACATTTGATAATCCAGACTTCAAACAAATGCTGGACTTAGAATGAAGTCAAAAGAAGGAAAGAATGTTTCAAAGATCATTTGCAGTGGTTCACACATAAAACTGTAATTTGCTCAATGCAGAAATTTTACAGGTAATTTTATAATGAGCCAAAATCACAGGAATTTAGGACTACTATGTATAAGGTGCAAAATGTTATTCTATAAAAGAAAACTCACCATTACATGAATAACACATCCTCAGTACAGTGGAAATGGTAAGCATTTATTTGTAAAATAACACCCCAGCGACAGAGCTGCCTAAACCATCTGGTCAGCGGCAAACTGCATGGCACCACTAACATGGTGTGAGGCTCTATTTTTCTCCAGACCCTTTTCCAATATTCATTCTTCAGTATGTCTCATACTCTTGATACCAGCAGACTTTAATGAAAGAGGGGGATACAGAGTAATCTGCAATTTTAAAGGAAATAAAAACCACTAAATTCATCCACGTAAATGTGGTAACTATGAAAAATTACGTCGGCATGATACAGGACTTAACACATAACAGCCAAAGGTCACGAGTTTGATTTTTATAGTGGTGGTGAAATAGGGGAACTTTCCCTTTCATTTTGCTACCTGTTAATGTGGTTTGGGTAATAAATAAGAATTAATAAGAAAAATGGCATTAATTAAACCAATGCGGTGCTGCCGTAAGAACAGACAGATAAATGAAATTGAACAGACAGTCCAGAAACAGATCCTGGTATAAGAACTTAGTATGTACTAAAGCAAGTGTTACAGACCAGGCTGGAAGGTAGGTGAGGAAGAGAATTTATTTAACAAAAGGTACTGGAGATACCAGTTAGCTGTTTGGAGAAAAGAATCTAATGTGATCCTTGCCTCATGGCACACATACACCAAAATTAATTCCATACAGATTAAAAATTGAGAAGCATTAAAACAAAAATCCTAGGAAAGGCCATGGTAAATACTTCTGATTAAAGGATGGGAGGTATTTTAAAACACTGGTGGAAATTACAATGAAATAATCAAAAGATTAAAGCCCTAAAAAGTAATAATGTTATCAACAAAAATTAAACAAGGAAAAGTCAGTAACAAACACAACAAAGGGTTAAGATCATTACTGTACATTAACAGTACAAACACCAACGAAGAAATAGAATAATTAGTTTACAAATGAAAATTTGCTCAGGTTCACAGGCAATTAAAAAAATACTACCTTATCAAATACTCAAGGATGACAAAATCAAGCTGAGCCCTCTAAATTACTGGGTACAGTGTTACCTGCTGGATTTTTGCAAAGCAATTTGATAATATGTATTAATAATCTTCCATTTTCCTAGTGTTTGACTCAGTGCTTCCCTTTTGAAGATCTCAGGAAGGTTTGTACAACGTGGACAAAGATTTCTGTACAATTTTATTCAAGAATATTATTTACAACATCCCAATACGGGCAATACTTTAAAGGTCCAATATTAGGGAAAGGATCCATAAAGTATCATAAATCCAGAAGATGAAGTAATATGGAAACATTGAAATGATATTCATGAAGTATCTATAACAACATGAAAAGTATTTAATTCCAGCTTTAAAAAGAAATACGTAAGGTTTTATATAAAGCATAATAGGTATTTAAATGTTGTCAAAACATTACCAGTGCTTGCCTGCGAGTGGTAGTAGTCGGGCTAGTTAGTCTTTTGACTTCTCTGTATGTTCTAAATTTTCTACAATGACCGTGTATTATTAATATATTTTGATAATAAAGAATACAGAGAACTAAAAACAGTATTTTAAAGGATAAACATGTACAGAATGCTCAACTATATATACACATATACATATAATTTATTTATCTTTCTAGCACTAATTTATTGCTATGCAACTTAGGCCTTTATATGCATCTTTTAAATTTAGTGATTCAAAAAAATAATTGGGGTTTTATAGCTCTGGCCTATTAGTGTTTATTTGTCTTAAGAGATCACTACTGAAGAACACCTACAAGCTATTATTTTACTTCAAGGCTTAGTTGGTTACCAAAGATTTACCAGTTGCTTTGTAGAAAATGTAGAACCACACTTACAGCTCCTTGTATGAACAAAAACAAAGAATGGCAAAATCTACTGAATGCAAGTATTGGAAAGTAAAACAATGCAACCTAAAAATAATAAACATGAACCGAAAATGGCCAGAAAAAGCAAGCATAACTCCAAATGACAAGGAGGTTCTTAACCATTTTTAAAAAATAAAGGGGCCTAAGAAAACCCAGTGCTTCAGGAAACAGAACAGCAGAATAAGGAGCTACAGCTGATGAATCAAACTGGCTACTATGGCTACTAGTTTTTAGTTTCCACAGCCCTGCCAACAGAATAACATTCAAGAAAATGCCAGCACTTGTTAGAAACAATATGGGAGGAAATATCTGTTTTCTTAATATTTAACTAACAGGTTTTACTGTGTTTTTGTTTTTTTGGAAAATAAAAAAGGCTAAGGCATATACACGAACACACATACACACACACACACACACACACACACACACACACACACACAATTTATCCTATTTTAAGCATCAATGTGTTTAAAACAGAATCTGAGAGTTGATTTAGGTGTTACAAACAAACTTGGGACCATAACGGTGATGAGTACTAAAACCCAGCACTTTACAGAAAATGGGAGGAAGCTCTGCCCAAAATCTACTTCTCTCTCCTGTAATGACTCTCAGCCTTAGAACTTCAGAAGGCATTTAAAAGATTAACCTTCAAAGACAGACTGCAGATCTGTTTTGCATTTTTAACATCTGACCACTACAGTGATAAATGGTTCACATAACAACTATCAATATTAGATAGCCAGAAGTTAGTCTTTGTGTTGGTTCAGAGTTCCTCAAAACAGGTACAACCTTAACAATTTTTGGCATGTCTACATCCCACCTGTACTACTATTTACTAAATATTTTCTTCAAATCAAGTTTTTTTTAAAAAAGCTAAAATACCTACTTTAGGCTTATCCTGAGCAGTAGAGAAATCACTAGTTTTAATGTGCCATTTATACTTTGAACACTACTTATATTGAGTTCATACTAAAATAAATGCTTAAATATTTAAATAAAAGTATACCCACATACCATCTAAAAACACTGTACATGCTACAAGAGGTAAGGTGTACACCACCCTTTAGAAAATACAATCCAATACCATTTCTGAAACAAAGGAAATCTTGAAAATGTTCATAAATATTAAATTCTAAGCTTTTATTCCCAAGGCAATTATAAAATGTCCACATCTTAAAATCACCAAAACTCTAAAGTGCTTGGTTTGCTGTAGAAATACTATATGCTACAAAAACTGAAACTTGTAAGAAAAATAACCTCCTGTGAATAAACAATAAGCTATAGACAGAAAGACAGATGGAGCTATAGGCCACAGGATTTCCTTAGAGGAAGCCGATCTATAAAACCTTTGATGATGCCACCACTTGATAACGTATCACCTGTTTTCTTATCATATAGCTTGCATACTTAAATAATTCTTATTTAATCTGACTTCCAAATACGTATATTTTATCTCCCACAGATAAACTTATTACTCTAATTTTTCTTTCACATTCCTTTCCCTTCTTTATGCCTCTCGTCTGATACAGCAGGTGCTTAATAAATGCTTGTGGAACTCAACAAAATCAATACAAACCAGACCTTATGGTCACAACAAATTGTGTATTTGTATCAAGCAAAAAGAGACCTTTATTTTAAGTTTTCTATTTCCTTAAAAGTGAGGACTTTGTCAAACATTTTTATACACTCAGGGAAATATACAGCATTAGAGAAATGCAGGCCATAGTCATTTTTCTTGTATGTACTCCAGAACCTCAACACACACACAGCTTGGGATAACTTAGAGAGTATAGCCTAAAGATTCTGAAATTTTATAAATTAGCCTTTAGTAAATTGTACAAAGTATCTGATTTAAAAGTTTGTTATTTTTCAAAGACACTAGTATTTCACTGTTATCTCCCACCCCGCAAGACTCACATGATGATATAACACTTAAAACAGAAAAAGAAAGAAGAGTCAAATGAAAGGAAGAAAAGAAAAATTGGTTCACAGCCAAATTTGGTTTACTTCTGGACTCTTCTTCTGGTTTTTGAACCTGGAAGAGAAAACAAAGAAATTTAAATCATTAATCATTAACTTACAAAAGCAAACGGAGAACATGAATGTAAGTATTTCCATATATAATTATATGTAAAAAGACATCTGACTCGAATGATTTGTGAAGATGAAATTCATACACAAAAGCATAATTATTAATACCATGAAACTCTTAGGAAATTGGTCAATTTTTTCATTCATCAAAAAAATATGCTAACAAAGTCTACCTTCCAGTCTAAGTTCTATCAGAACTCTTCCACTTATAAAACGTACCTGATTTACACTTGCACTGAATTGTCTCTCCCCCAAATATGTATTGTACAATTTAAAACAATTCAAAATGTAAGATAGCAACAAGACAGCATTCTTTCTTTGGAAGGGAAACAATACGGTAATGTATGTTATGAAAAGCAAGGAATTTTTTTATAAAGGTATTGCTTTTTAGGGCTCTCTTGTCCCCTCCTGGCATGAGCCAGGAGCTCCATTCTCTCACTTTATTTCTAAATAAAAGCCTGTACCTTGCTCTCTTAAAAAAATAAGTAAATAAATAAAAATAAAGGTATTGCTTTTTAAAACCTGTTACTTATATTCTTTAGACAGGAGAGTGCTGGGCTATTCCAAACTACAGTCTTTTCCACTAGGAATGAACTAAATCCCACCGGTAGCCTTCCATAAAAGTACCCCATCTGATATTGGCCTGGGTATCTTGCGACAGTTCTTCTCCAACTATTCCTGAATTGGGAAAAATCAGTGATTCTTTATTGGTGGCATAAAGAATTCTGCCCCATAAAAAATTCCATGTGGGAATGCTACCTCACCAAAGAAACTTTGCTCCTGACTCCCACGCCCACTCCACCCGCACCTGGTGCACAGCAGTCAGAAGGGTGTGCTTAAGCCTGACCCCAACTGCCTAGTGCTGGCGCATGAACGTGCTTCCCCTGCCAGGAAGAGCAGCAGTGCCCGCAACTAATCAATGCACACATACCCAATAAGATCAATACTTCTTTTCTAAACATACAAAACATTCTTTCAATCTAGGACAAGATATCTACCACGCACGTCTACTAACCAGTTTCTAAAGGTTTTCTGATTACAGGTTTATTTTGTGACTTATTTGTAAGATCAGTTTAAAAATTTGTGGTTTTTATTTTCCCAAGTTCAATTGCTATTCAATTGCCATATATTTCAATTAAAGCAAACCTTGAACTTGTATGAATATCTCTTTTTTTCTGCCACTCATAATGCATAACCTGTATTATGGCTGGTTATGAGCTTTTTCTTCAATTTTGCGATATATAATATATATAGCCTTCTTTTTAAAATAACTCATGGTAGATTTTGAGTTTTTTTCTCAAGAATTTTACAATTAACTTTGCATAGAAAACCGAGAATGTTGTGATTATCTGAGACTGGTATAATGGGCTATCACAAAACCAAGGTCAATAATCAATACTACAGTATATCTTCCTTTCAATAAATTGTGAATCTGTAGTCACATTACAAAGGACACTAAAGTTAACAATTACCGCTACATTCAAGTAGTTTTATTCCCATTAAAGTCCTAATTTGACATTCCACTGTTTGATTAAATACCATTGCTGCTTAGCCCCTTCAATCTGGATTTAAAGTTTTTCAATGCAACTAAAAATGCTATCACACCTGGGATTTATTATATAATCACCACCATGCAACTGACAGACTTTGCTACATGTATCAATTCAACATTTTCCTAACAATTCTAATTGCTGCAGAAGAAATCTGTTTCTCTTCCCATCTCTTTAAAAAAATCCAGTTCACAAAACATTACTACTGGTAAAAGTTCCAATCATAAGGCTAATGTGTAAAATTCAATATTTGAAAAATAAAAAATACAAGTTTTGGTTACTCTCCTATGATTTTATAATGCAGAAGGAAAAAAACAAGTGGGAAATTTCTTTATGGGCTGCCCTTAAAAATACCTCTTTCTTGACTAGACCACAGATAGTCAAAAGGTAAACTTAAATCATGCTTTCCTTAAGATTTCTCAAGAATGGTCCAACATCAAAGGCACTTCAAAGTACCAACAAGAGTAGGTGTTGAGTACTGTCCATTTTATGAGCAAATGAAACAAAGTATAGTAGCCATAAATATCATGGCTACAGTAACAGTTTTGAAATACTGGCATGGTTTTGAAATGCCAGAATACACAGGGCTTTTTTTTAAGGCTTATCATTTTGTGGGGAGAAAAATTACTTGCAGCAAATAACCAAATTTTCTCAATTGGTAAAAATTATGCCTTGCATAAAAATAAAAGGATTAGAGGCCTCTGTTCTTCTTGAAAACCACCCCGTCACCCCCTCTCTTTCTTTGAGAAAACCTACACAATACACATTTTGAAAGCTTTCAGAATGTGTTCTCACACAATAGACCCCCAACTAGTCAAAATGAGTTTAGGTGTATCAAGAAAATTATACAGGTTTTTAAAATGGTCTAAATAGATATTAAAGGAAAGTCGCTCCCATTTTGCTTGGCACAGCATTCTGAAAGATCACATAGTGAGAAAAATCTCTTACCATATTGTAAACCATAAACTGTGTTTGAAAATAAAATTGTTAATGAAGAAACTGACATTTCTAAAGCTGCTGTTGGAGGCAACCACTCTTGAAACACGTTTATGATACAAAATCTTAAAACTCTAAAACACAGAATTCACTGAATTGTATTATATATTTCTTGAAAAAATACACATGTAATACTGTACCTTCCCCTTCAACTTTCTTTAAATTGATGAATACAAATACACATTTTCATGAATCCTTGGTTTTTTTGTTGTTGTTGTTTCCCTGGAAGCAGTAACACTTTACCATCTGAGGTAATATTTTTCTCATTTATAAATACTTAGATAGTAAAATACCTTAACTAGCCTTATACTTTAGGGGAAAAAATGAATTACAATGGAGAAATAAACAGCATTTAAGTAAGGCAATTTGGAGTTTATATCAAAAAGGGAGAATCTGACTATTCTTTACCTTCCTTCTTTAAAAAAAAAAATCTGAATTGTTCTCCTTAAATACAGATGGGGTCTACTCTCTTCTGTGATTAATGAAAATATCAATACAAAATTTCAGGTGTAAAAAACACTGTTCATAATTATAGTCAAATTGAAAATCATTCTGTATCAAAAACAAATGCCTCTGATGCTCATTAAGCAAAGCTCAGGTTCCAAATGCCCCTTGCCCACACAGAGCTGTGGATCTGCTTTTGGTCTAAATGGGTACCAACCTTACTGTCACAGAGTAGTACCTTTCTTAAACTAAAATTGCCGGTTTTAAATCTTAAGGGATTTTTTAAAATTAAGAATATGTATCTGTATAAGTGCTCCTAATTTTCTCCCACTCACTGTCATAGCTGCTGCTGCTAGCCTCTGGCTGAGACATGCTTCGATGTACTGCTCCTCGGGACTTCTCACTTCCTGATGACAAAAGGAACAAGACAGGGAGAAAAGGAGAAAAACAAAAAGACCACAGGGAATGGAAGATGGTTGCAGCAAAGAGAGAGCAACTACTTCAACACCTTCAGCCTCCAGAGTGAGGGCATATTCTCCCTCCTCAGAGATCCCAAGTATTCTCTTGGGTCAATTTAGATAAACGTAAGCATGTTCTATCCATGACATATAATGAAGAAAATGTTAATAAAATCAAGGTGAAGATGATTCTTTTTGAGAGTGGAGCTTTTGCCTTCCACCAACATGCACCGGTGTGACACTGTCAAAGGGAAGGTAAAATACATCATTGGCCTAACTCATTCAGGGCACTCATGCTTTAATGAAATTTTTATCAAAAATAAGCCTTTCCTATTATAAATCATGAAGCATTTCAGGACCAAGAAAATAATAAAAAAAACCAAGGCAGACAGAAAGGAAAGAAGTCTAGAAGGGAGAGAAGGGAAGGTGTAGCCAGCACTGAATCTCTTCACCAAGTAAATATTGCTTATGAAACTTGAAACACCTTTTTCCTTTTTTTGAGCCACCCACAGGTATGCCTACACATCACAGAATGGCCATTTATTAACCAGACCAGACCAAAGCCCAGCCCGGTTTTGCCCTTTGCAGACTGTCATTTTTGGAACTACTACATATTGGAAGGGCCTTCCACACCAGTTTATGAGCCATCTAAGAAGTGATGTCCCATGTTGCCTTTTGCTTCAAGAGCTTTGAAATTTTACGATTTGAGACTTTGATTTCTTGTGTTTCAACTTACTGAGAAGAGCTGGCAGACTTGGTGGAGAACATGCAGGCAGCTCAGGCACGTGGAATTTGGCAGCTGCCAGTAAGCCCACTTACTGACCGCCTGACTCCTGACATGCACTCAACCCAAGTCGTGTGGACCGTGTGCAGAAATGGGAACAGTGACCTGAGAGTTAAAGAGGTCTGGTATTTATGTGTAACTCTTTCACAATGGTCTGTCATTTAAATGTTCCTTATCTGCAAAATGAAGAGTAGTTCTGGTCCCAACCTCATGCTAATTGTGAATAATAAGTAACACGTTTGTGTACAGAAGACATTGTGATACATAAGACATTGTGATATATACCATACAATTATAAGATCTTCTCATGTAATATTTTATTAGAAAATCAAAATGTTATCACCGAAATAGTTCACCCCTATTTAGTGGGAGGAAATGAAATTTGTGTTCATGTATGTTAAAAGCTACAGGCAAGACTTCAACTTACGGGTTTGTGCAGCCTCTTCTGTCTGTCTGTCTGAGCAGTCCATATCTTCAACACTATTTTCTGTGCTTCCCTCAATTTCTTTCTTTCGCTTCTTACATATAAAAATTTTATAAAAAGAGAGAGAGAGAGAGATGTAGTCCAATGGTCAAATAATATACAGACTTGCCACATATTAGTATATATATGAATCTGTACAGGTGTGAGTGTGTCAAAACATACAGGAAGCATACACATAACTTCAGGGTAGTGGTGACCCAACAGAAAGGGTGGAGAATGGAAGAAAACAGGATTAAGCAAACCTTCAACCAGAGTTGGTCATCATTTAAAGTAGTGTTTTAACCATCAGGCCTGATTACACAGAAACTCTGTGTTCTACAAATCTGGTATCACTGACTCAGGCCAATGATAGTATTCTCCCCATTTTACAATGTCTACGTGGGGGGCGGCTGGGAGGTGCTGATCTACTTGATAAGTGTGAAAATATACTCCCTGCCCCATATATTATATCAGTAGTTATATTCTAAAAATTGGCAGCAAAATTCCATTCATAAATCAGCAATGACAAACTTCTAATAAATGTTCTCTCCTGGCATATTTTTTATTGAAAATTTAAGAGGACCATAAACGGAAGTGTAAGGGATGAGTCTTAGAAGTATACAGCTCTCCTAAAAATCTCAAAACCAGGTTGGATTTTCCACCATTCTCTCAGGTCTTTCCAATTTTCTATTTATTTTTCTAGTTGAGTGTTACTTAGGAAGTAATGCTTATATTCTGTCACCATCCATTTCTCCCAAACATTCATTCACTTTCTTTGTTACTTTTTATCACTATGACATTTTGTAACTAGTTCTGTCCTGTGCAGTTTTTAAATCACTTAACATCTCTATAGGTAGGAGTAAGTACGGAAAAGACATTAGTGATAAACTTGAAATTTTGTGTTTTTCATGTAACTTTATCCTATGTAATCTCAAATTTAAATGTTTTAAATTCCAAATTATAACTTAGGTTCCCTACAATAGGTTTGTGTCATTCAGGAAATCATCTGCTACTTGCTGAATTTCACAGATTCACAATGCATCAGAATGTCTTCACTGATATTTTCTAACAATTAATATTAAGTTAAACTTCGCTTGAGAATTTTCTTTGCTTCAGGCCATTCTGCATAAAGCTATGAAAAAGTATAATGCCTGCTGACACCACAGTGTTCCTTTTCCTAATGGCAACCACGGGTTCTGTTCCAAAGAAACTACATGGGAAAGCTCAACTCTATTCAAGCCACATTATCTTAAAACCTCCAAATGGTCAGAACTATTATTATCTGTGTATTACAATTAATCCCACTGTTTCAAAACAGTCTTAAGTTGGCTGTGGAAAGATCAGAACTCAGAGATAGCCACCATGTTCTTAAAGAAAATGCTTCCCATGTACAAAAATAACAACTGGACTAAACCTTAAGAAACTTTAAAAGGCATTCATTTAGCAGATTTGTATATGGAGGTATTGCTTCTCAAAAACAGCTGTAAGAGTGGCTACAACTCCACATAACTGATGAGAGAAGGGGAGAGTGCCTTGCATCTTTCTTTCCCAAAGCGTTGCTTCATGATTACCATCTAAACCCTGCTGGGCTGAACAGATTGGTTCGATAATTACATACAATAACTGCAGTGGGCAGGTAACCCTCAGCTGGCACAGGGCAGCTCCCCTGTGAGAACTTCCATATGCAAACTGCACTGATGGAGTGCATTAGGTACAGCTTTCCTGCCGGTGCGCAGGCCTGATTACCGCCAGCCAAGACTCCAAGGTTAGCATGTCAGCAGATTTGTGATGCATTAGGCAGGAATAAACACAGACACTTTTGTTCGTTCAGACCAAAATTAAGGAGGAATATTTCAGTACTATATTGCTTACCATACAGGAGAGAATGCATTTTCCAGTTTTAGGAGGGCAGACTTTAAAATGCTTATTACAAAGGGAACCATCCAATACATTCAACCCAACAACCTAGTGCATTCATCTTTTCAAGCTTATTTAATAAAAAGGAGCCTTCTTAATCTCCATGCAGGTAAATTACATAGAAATGAAAATCAGACAGTATTCAACCAACAAAGGAAGCACCTGTGTTTTAAGCAGTATGCATTAGGTAAAGCACAGAATTGTATTAATTCACACTTCAGCTAGGTATCTCCTGCCCAACTTTTCTGATAATGCACATGGTTTGGATAGAAAGGGCCAATGGTCTACAGACTTAAGACCAATTTAAAAAAAAGAAAAAAAAACTTCAAGTTTAACAGCATGTTATGTTATTCATTTTATAAGGTAATGAGTAAAATTCCAAACAATTTGCTTCCAGCTTCTTTCTCCTGATTATCTCCAACACTTCATTTTGTTATTTGTCAACATCTTAGGCTTCAGACAGTGCATATTTTGGTTCTCTCTGGATAGAAAACAGCTTCTCTAAGTGACTAAGCTGACCTTTGGTTTTGTCACACTCCAAACCAGATCTCACAAGTTCCTTCTTTTGCATTTTTAAATGAAATCAAAATACTGTACTACATACATACAAGAATAACTTACAAACTTAGGATGGAGTTTTCATTCTGCACAGCTAAAATATCTTTAAAAAATCGGATTTATTTCAAAGGGCATTAGTGTATATATTACACATTGTATTTCTGAAGTGTTCAGATGTGCTAAGCTAAAATCTAGTTAATTAGCAGGTTCTCACTTCCAATTTAGAAACAGGAAGACAAGTCAGCTAGATGCATTTGGACTGATAATTTCCTAATAGTCTAAACACAGATTGGAGACCAGTTATAGACTTAAAGCTATTTTAAGGGAAAAGACAGTAAAAATCTTCAGAGGCAAAAGCCAAACACCAATTCTTTGCTTCCCAAATCAAACGCCAAAAGATCACCTCTAAATGCTTTCAATGGCCTCTATGAAAAACCGATCAGATACCCAACTATACCAAAGATGAGCGCTCAGGGACAGTTACAAAAGTCGTATTATAAAAGTCATACATATTTACTTGAGAAACTTAGGATATATAGCCTAAAATTCTTAAATGTTTGGTACTGCACATGTGTCGAAGAGCAAAAACTCTAAATACAAATATGTGACTGCATTAATCAACTGACCTCATTTTATTTATTTAAGGCCACCTAAAATAACCACACAAGTGTACACATTTTACTATTACCTTCCCTAGAAGCCCAAAATAGGGTATTTGTTACTCAGTAGCAACTAAAAAAAAGATAGGATGTATCTTATATGACAATAGGGCAAACACATGTGTTACACCCCAACACTTACAAAGGCAGCAGATTTAGTTAAAATTCACTATACACACAGAAAAAACTAAGGTTGGGGACAGAGAGAACTAATGGAATTTGTTCAGTGTTTCTCAGTTGGTGTAGTGAAGAACCAGAACTCAGAGCTCTTGGTTCTGGTTTCCATGTCCTTACATACCTTTGCTGCCTCCCTATGTGACTCGTTAGCATGAAGCACCAGTTTCTAGCCGTCGTGCTTGCAATTTAGTGTATCCCTTCCTAAGGATTACAGGTCACAGCTTTGTGTACCTGGTATAGCTTATTCCACCCTCCTACCTCTCTCTGCTATGCATGCTCCCAAAAGGCAAGGACTACAGTTTTCCTCATTTGTTGAACCCTCGCTGAGCTTAGCTGAGCTTGGTATTTTACAAATAAATATCCATGATGAGCAACTAACTATTTAACTATTACTGTAAAAAGAGCTGACTTCATAGTTTACCCCAGGCCCTCAAAACCTGTGTGCTGTTTACATGGACATTGAGTGATTACAGGTATATTTTGAGAAAAAGCAGGAAAAAGTCAGACATACCTGGAAGGAGAAGAAATGAAGAGATGGGAAGTAGATTAGGAAATGAGTAAGTGATTTAAAAAGAGGGCAGATGAATTTAAAGAATAACCTAAAAAATATTCTGCTAGAATGCATTTAAGTGGTTCAATATTTTCTATGAGTTTCAGTGTTAAAGACTGTGATAAAATAATGATATCGCAAGGTCCTTCCACAATAACACTGACCTCCATTTTAACAGAGCAGAGAGCTCACCATGTATTTACTAAGCACCTACTAGGTACTTGACACTGTTGCAGGCTTCATTCTTAAGATGAAAAAGAGACACTAAAAACAGATTAAAGCAGAAGAGAAATTCAGCTTTTATATAAACATTAAACATACAATGTATTTATTTCAGCTTTATAAGAAATAATTTTGGGGTTCCATAAATGAGTCTTAAGCACAGGTCCAGTGTAATCCCACACAGTAAGAATTTCATTCTGGGAAGTATCAATCTATATGTAAATGTAACATATGCATGACTTCACAGTCAACCCTAGATTTTGTTTGTTGTTATTATTATTTGCTTAAATTTAGATCTCTCTCCTGTTGACACTTTCAGTTGTCTACTCTGGAGTTAAGAAGTATAAGTTAAGAAATTTTGCTAATTAATAAAGAGTCTGCAAAAAAGGGTTGAGCAATACAAAATGTTTAAATGCATGACTGACAAAGTGTGGACTCCTTAGGTTCTTCACTAGTTCAACCATCCCTCTCTAATAATACCAGGAAGGATGAAGAATTTACTATAATAATCTGAAAATGGGGCACCAAAGGTCACTGCTAATTCATATGTGCCAAAAAATACAGATACATTTGTGTTTCTGACAGAATAAATAAATAAACGAAAAAAACTTCACCTAGTTGGCAATCAGAATTGATTGTCTGCTCCATGGACGATGCATTTCTAGCAAAAGTACGGCTTCCACAAAGTAAGCACAAACTGTCTACTACTTATTTGGAGTGAATGTGTGGCCGTTTTGAAGTTGGGCCTCCTGAGAGAATAGAAAAGCACTGCTTTAGAGCCCTAGGGTCACTCATCCTCCTAGAGAAACACTAAGTTAATGAGCAGGTAGTGAGCTGAAAACAAGTTGAGCCCTGACCACATGATCTGCAGGAGTATTACATGCATAAGAACTTACTCCCATCAAGTATTCATATAATAATGGCAACGACAGCCTGGAAAGATTTCCCAACATCAGTTCTGAAAACAGTAAA